CATCACATACTAATCTCACCACTGTTGTGTTTAATGTCTCGATTCAAGGGTTTTCTTTATTGTCAAATTTTAGTGTACGAAACAGTACAAACACCCCTGTGATCAAGGAATTCCTGATCACCATCAATCCAAAGAAGTTCATAATTCAATTCACACCGTATCAAAGAACTTCTTTAGCTTTCATAAATGCCTTGGAAGTCTTCGTAGCTCCTCCAAAGTTCATCCCGGATGCTGCTCCTCGCGTTACCCCTGGAGGAAAATCTAATCTTACTTCAGGAGGTTTGCCCTCTCAGGCTTTAAAAACCCTCTATAGAATCAATGTTGGAGGTGACTCATTTGGGTCAGATTATGACACTCTGTGGAGGAACTGGACATCAGATGATGGTTATCTAATTAATCAGGAATCTACAACAAACAAGTTGCCCCCCAAAGGTATTAAATATGAGGACGGTAATGCTACGAAATATATTGCCCCAAATTTTGTCTACAACACTGCCAGAGTCTTGAATGTGAAGTCAAATATATCCAACATAACTTGGCGTTTTGATGTGAGTAAGAAGGCTAGCCACCTTGTAAGGATTCACTTTTGTGACATAGAGAGTGAGTCACAAAATACTCTCGTGTTCAATCTCTATATCTATAGCAAGTTTATTCAAATAGTCAATCCTTATGAAATCTTTAACCCGGTGGCAGCTCCATTTTGCTTAGATTTTGTGGTTGATTCTGATGAATCTGGATTTATGAATATCAGTGTAGGGGCTCTGCTGGACTCGGATAACCCTCCCATTCTGAATGGGCTGGAAATATTGGAGTTTATGAAGGAGAGTAATGCTGCTTTTGTGGAAGAAGAATCGAAAAAGAATCATCTGTCTCTAATGGTTGGTTTAGCAGCTGGTGGTGTGGTTTTTATCTCCATTTTGATGATAGTGGTGCTGGCTTTGAAATGCAGGAAAGCATCTGCCTCAAATGTTCCTAATTTGGACCTTGGGCTAAAGATACCATTTGCTGAAATAAAGCGTGCAACCAATAAATTCGACAAGAAAAAAATCATTGGTTCAGGTGGATTTGGAAAAGTTTATTTCGGAACTCTCAGGAATGGTATGAAAGTGGCTGTGAAACGAGGTGAAGCAGAGCATGGACAAGGCTTCTCAGAATTCCAGACGGAGATCATAATATTGTCAAAGATTCGCCATCGCCATCTGGTTTCCTTGATTGGCTATTGTGATGAAAGGTCTGAGATGATACTGGTATATGAATTCATGGAAAAAGGCACACTGAGAGAGAATCTATACAATTCGAGTAAAAACTCTGCGAGACCATCTACAGAATATTCATTGTCTTGGAAGCAAAGGCTTGAAATTTGCATTGGTTCTGCTGAGGGTCTTGATTACCTACACACTAGTTCAGATGGGGGAATCATTCATCGAGATGTTAAGTCGACAAACATCCTGCTTGATGGAAATTACGCGGCCAAAGTTGCTGATTTTGGTATTTCAAGAACAGGTCATCTTGATCAAACCTATGTCAGTACTGATGTAAAGGGCAGCATTGGATATCTTGATCCAGAATATTATGGAAGTCAAATGTTAACACTAAAATCTGATGTTTACTCTTTTGGAGTGGTTCTCCTGGAAGTGCTTTGTGCAAGACCAGCTATCAATGCTTCACTGCCTAGGGAGCAAGTGAACCTGGCAGAATGGGCAATGTCCTGGCATAAGAGAGGACAACTTGAAAAAGTTATTGATCCAAGGCTGGTGGGTGATATCAATCCAAGTTCTTTGAGAAAATTTGGAGAAACAGCCGAGAAGTGTTTAAAGGATTATGGTGATGACAGGCCTACTATGGGTGATGTGTTGTGGGACTTAAAATATGCACTGGAGCTTCAACAAACTGTTACTCACACAGAGCCATACGAGGATAGCACAATAGATGCTTCATTGCAGCTGCCATTGATTGTTACTCAGCGTCTGCCTTCTCATAGCCTCTCAACTGAGAAAGATGATGTTCCCACAGCAAGGAATGATGGATCCGAGACAACTGCTAGTGAAGTGTTTTCCCAATTAAGAATTGATGATCCCAGATAAGGACTAGTGGCTTGAGAGGTACTTGTGTTATTTAACTTTCTTTAGCATGAATTTCCTTTCTTTAGCATCAATTTGGGATTTCTTCTCTAGATGATGTATAAGTTGAATTTGGATCGCTTTGAGTTATCATGACACACCCTTACCGTCTAACTTCCCTTAATTGTTTTCTATTTCTTGTCCACCATGCTTTGGTGAAATGAACAACTACAAAATGAAATGGTGTATCATTCATCAATGGCCAGAGATTCCTACTTTGAAGATGTATATTCTTTTTGAGGAATCCCTGTAAATATAAGCCATTTTGTGCCTAATTGTCCTACTTGCCTTGGCATGCCCTTTTTAACTTTGTTCCTCAATGCTTTGCATACTGCTTGGTACCGGATGGCGTGCAAAAGGATTAAGGGCTCCCATTCACCATTGTTTTTGGCTGTGAGCAGGTGTGAAACGATCATACTCCATCTGGTTAATTCTAGGAATTATAATGAAACTAATCTCTTTCTCCTCAGCAACAAATTGAAGCAACTAAAATTGAACTTGGCTTCACCTCCATTCCAGTCCAGTACTTTATGGCATTTAGCGTAGACTTATAGTTCTCTATGGGACCATTTTCATATTTATTATTCTCTGCCAAGAGCAATAGGATAATCCTTTTGGACACTTCCTAGACTTTATGTATATCCACAGGTATTCAAGGCATCTAATCTAATTGGGCTCCATATGAGTATTGCTGATTCATTCACCCTTAACAGAGCTATCAAGAATAGTTGAGCATCTAAAAGGCCCAAACTACCCTTCATTGATTGATAAAAAAAGTTGATGTTAGATTGTTCTAGTAATTGGTGGGTGTCAAGATCATGAAACATGGTAGGTTTTCAAACTTATCACCCTTAGTGGGTGTTTGGCTACATATAGGACACATCCAGATCCAACTCTCCTCTGGGCTTAGTGGGCGTTTGGCTAACCCATGTGATGATATTGATCACATCATTCTCTTGCTTTGTTGCTTCTAGTACATGCAATGACAATTGACCAATGAAGAGTGTCAAAAGGAAAAACCAAGTCTTACTTTTGAAAACAGTGTCCTGACTTTGAAGAAGCAACAAAGCCATCTTGTTCCTTGTGTTAGTCAAACCGCGACAAACATGCCTGAAAACGGTGCATAAATGCATTTTCAAATTCCTTTCTTCCATGGTAGCTTTATTATTCCACTTCCACAAACCTACTAAAGAAAATAAGATTTCAAACTTCACTGGTTTACTAACCACCACAACTCCTCCCAAAGTTTCAGAGGAAGGGATTCTATTTTCATGTCTTAAGAAGTGCCCAAAATTTTGTCCTATCTTCGATTTTTTGTGCCCTCTGTTCATTCAGCAATGTTCATCACACAGCAGCAACAAAAACTAACAATGAAGCAACATTGTCATGTGAAGGTGTTATATTGTGTCAACATCTTCATCTTCTTCATCATTATCTTCTCTTGTTTCATGGCAGTGGAGGGTTCAAGACCTCTTCGCGATCACAACCCTTCGGCACAATTCAGAGGTTTTACCATAAGACGAGCATATTCTGGTCCAAGCAAGCATGGCCGTGGTCACTAGTGAGAATCTAAGTAAGGCCCATAAGGGCTTTGCTTATTGTTATGCTGTAGGCCACAACAAATTGTTTGTTTGGGAATTTTTTTGTGTGTATCATGTTCATTCGATCTTTACATTGGTGTACGTAGAACTACTAATGAAATAGTGGAATCTCTCTGCTTTTTTTTTTTCCCCCTTAAATTTCGAGCTTACCATCTGATTGCATGACATTTCTTCCACACATTATAGAGAATATACATCAATATAAGATAGATTGAGATGGGATATAATTAATCAAGAAACCTACTTAGTTTGGATGCAGTTAATGGACATATTTATGTAGATGCAGCACAGAAGGGGTTTATTTCCAACAAAAAGAACAGGAAAATGTCAAGCCTCACAATTTTTTTGTGTTTAACTCGTCATTTTATGGACTAACACTCGACGGTATAAGAATAAAATTCTTAATCTTATCTCTTTTCTTCTTTTTTTTTGGGTAAATATTTCAGCTCCTTTTTAAATGTCATGCCACGATGCCAATATGGCAATATGAGTTTTTTATTTTATTTTTTTTAATTATTATTTGAATTATTTATTTACCAAAGGGAGAAAAATGTGTAATTGTAAAATGTATGATAGATAGATGACACAGAAAAGGGTGGAAGTTTTGTTTGTTTACACAAAAAACGGTTGACCGCTTAATCTATCAATCAGAGGGAAGAAAAGGCAGGAAACATGGAGAGTGGAGTCCTGGAATGTGGAACACTATGTTTGTCAACATTAGAAGACAAATCAACATAAGATAGCTGCTCTTCTTTCGTTATTTATTTATTTATTTATAGTAATAAGATGGTTGTTTCTTTCCGCAGCAATAGTAATATTGGCGCCATTATTGGGCCATGTTGCTTCTGTCGATCATCATATGGAAAAGTATTATTTAGAAACTCTCTCACATTTACTTTATTGTCATGCATCGCATCATTTTAAATATATATATATATATATATATATATATATATATATATATATTAGTTTAAAATTTAAACTAAAATTTCTTCAATTCAAAACTCAAGACACAAATTTGATATAGCATTAACATTTTTAAGACAACAAGAAGTTGTGGCTCAAATTAATTGAGCAATGAAATAGCTAACTTGATTTTGCCAGTGACAAACAAAAAAATATAGTAGGAAATTAATTCTAGAAGAGGAACTGAACGAGTTTTAAATTATATAACACTGTTTAACAGAGTTAATATATATATATATATATATATAATATTGGAGTTTTATTTTAATTTTTTCCCTGTCAAGATCAAAACATTAAGCAATAGATGTGCGATCCTTCTTAGCTAAACTTAACATATCAACATGAATATGCACAGGCATCATATCAGAGTTAACACGATCATTAATTATGAAAAAATAAATAAATAAATCACAACTAACGTCCTTGCCTGAAATAAGAAAGCATGACTAATTATGATGTAACTTATGTTATAAAACCATTTCAAAACCATACTATTTCAAAATACTATATATTTCTTCTTTTATTTCTTTATTTCTTTGTCTTTCATTCTTTCTTTCTTGAAGCAACTGTGAGTCTGGAAATACTTATTTGTCACTGGTGATTGTATTCTGGCTAGGTTGTTCTGTGAATTGGCTGATGAAATAATCAACATTCCGATCAGAAGAACCACCATCACCCACCGCTTTCCTGGCCGCCTCCTTTAATTCCGCTGCCCTTTCCTTAATCTCCCTCGCCCTTGGCCCCTCAGTGACCTCGAAAATGCATCTTACGACCTCCTCTTTGGTGACAACACGGTCTTCCTCGGTCCTCATTCTCACTCCCGTCTTGAAAGCATCAACTACAAGCTTGGCATTCGTGGGTTGGTCCGTCCACTCCGGAAATGCAATCACTGGCACCCCAGCCGCCACCGCCTCCAATATCGAGTTCCACCCGCAATGGCTCACGAAACAAGCCAAAGCCGGGTGCATAAGCACCTTTGCCTGATTGCACCATGACACCACCAATCCCGTGCCATTAGTCTCTTCCAAAAACTCCAATGGAAGTCCATCTTTGTTCTCACCATCTTTCCCTAGTGACTTCACCACCCAAAGAAATGGCCGTTTGCTTTCTCGTAATGCCATGGCTATGTTCTCAATCTGCTTTTTCGCCAACACGGTTATGCTGCCAAACGCAAGATACACAACCGACGAGGGTGGCTTCTTGTCCAGCCATTCCAAACAAGAATCATCAGAATTCCACATGTCTAGGCTATCCGTGACGCCTTCTTCTTTTCCTATCAGAGGAGAGGGCACCAACGGGCCTATGGGAAGAACAGGTTTGAACAAAGCCATGGACTTCACTGCATCAGCCTCGAGCTCATAGAATGAATTGACCAATACCCAATTCACTTTCTCCAAACTTTGAATTGATTCTGACAATAACTTCTTGAAGTGTGGAGGACTCGACGGAAGGATAAATGTTGGAAGATCTTTTACTTCCAGCAATGGCAACCCAGGCAATTCTAAGGCACTGTTTGGATTATCAAATGATGGGAATGTTTCAAATTCATTATTGTATCGATGATAAATGGAAAAGAGGGAAGAACCTTGTATGCAGAGCATTGCACAAGGAATGCCGCGATCAGCTGCAACATCTGCTACCCAAGGCACAAAGATTTGATGGATTATGCAAGAAAATGTCTGCCCCTTGCTGCCCAGATTGGTGATGAGATTCGAGAGATTCTTCGAGCCTGACAATGGCAAGGACTGTAACATGAGATCGAGGTGCTTGTTGCGATCAAGGTCAAGGTCGAGGTCATCCGAGAAGAACTCAAGTTGGATTTTGGGGCCTTGAGCGACCCCGTTTTGGTTAGTGTCGATCATGGTGGTGGACTGGCCGTTTGAGAATGTTTGACGAGCGACTTCGGTTGTGGCAAGTGTTACGTGAAGGCCTTTTGATACAAGGCGTTTGGCAAATCTGAGCATTGGGTTTATGTGACCCTGAAATGGTAACGTGACCATAAGGACATCTACTCCTTCTACGGCCATTGTTTATGTGGTCTCTGGAAGTGTGTCAACTTAGGAGAGTGAACGTAGAGGGGATTGGTTGCAGCAAGCAAGCAACCCCGTGTGTATATATATTATATAGCGAGATAGGGAGGGATTGCGGCAATCAAACAAAAGATTATAACTACTTAATTACAAACATTAATATTACAATCAAATTGTGTACATAGAGGGGATTGGTTGCAGCAAGCAAGCAACACCGTGTGTATATATATTATATAGCGTGTGTGCGCGCGCGTACGACATAGAGAGATAGGGAGGGATTGCGGCAATCAAACAAAAGATTATAACTACTTAATTACAAACATTAATATTACAATCAAATTGTGTACATTAGCGCATGCAAGTGAATATAGAAATACATTGGGGCATTATGGAAAAAGATCCTTGTAGTCTACTTTGTACTTAAATCCAAGATGCAACACTAATTATCAATTTAATTGTGGTGCACTGTTGCATATCGATGTAAATGTTGCACAAGTGAGTTCGGAACCAACACTCCTTTCTCAAATTCGTCCCACGCTCTTTTTTTAAACCCGCCCCACAAAAATATACAGGAACGGAGTCAGAAATTATGTGTAGGGGGCATAATGCAATAAAAAAATTTGAGACAAAATAATTTTAAAATATTTACAAAATTATACATACAAAAATAAAATTATCAATCCACATCATTCAATAAATAAGATATCCTCTATATTCTCGTAATCTCTAACTTCTTAATTATGAAATATTAATGCAACATATGTTACATATTTCATGCTGAAAAAGAACATTCATATTTATTAGTCAGTTATTTTTTTTGACTTTTAATACTCTTTCACGTTTTTTCGCCTTTTATAATTTAATTGTTCAATGTAACAACATTCCATTGAAGGTTTTATTTATTTATTTATTTATTCAGTCTCAAGAGAGCTTTTATGTGAAGTCATGAATTTTCTTTATCAACATTTTTAATTGAGACATTTTTAAAAATTTGTGAAAAGTTAAAGGAATATTTTAAACTCTCTCCATGAGAAGGCTCCCTTGGAAACCTAACATTTCACCTTAGGCATAGAAATTGTTGCTAGAAATGGAAAAATAATCCCCCTTGTCAAGTTACTTCTTGTCCGTCCATAGAGTTGTAAGGCTTTCATTATGATGAAAAAAGAAACACAATTACAAAAAGTTTTTATATATATGTATATCATTGTCCCTTGCTACCACTTCCTATCAAGTATCAAGGACTGTGTAATGTCAAAAGATTTAAGAGTATCTTGTTAGTGACTTATGATATGTTTAGTACGCGTTTTATTTTTAGTATTATGTTTTAACCTGAAACGAAACAAGTCTTTTGTTACAGGGCATTTTGAATAATAATCATAAACGTGTTTGGTAACGTCCATTTATTGCAAGATTTTTGGAAGCAAAAATATGAAAACATATTTGGTAAAAAATTGTTGCAAGTTCAAAAAATATAATGGTTCGTTTAAATAAAAATGTCATTTAAGAGTATTTTTTAAGGAAAAAAAAAATTACTGTTCGTCGTAACAATACCAAACACTAATGGTAGAAACAAAACTGTAATGTTTTCGATTTTTATCATTTTTCATTTTTCGGAATTTTTTGTTTTTGCGAGCGCATTTTCATCTTTTCTTGTTTTACGTATCGGACACTGTGGGGTGTGTCAACTGTGCCTGAGAGTTGGTTGGGGCATTTCATTAAGTTTATGACCTTTTGAAATGCAATGGTTGCCATTTCGACATTTTTTCGTTTTCCGGATTGAAATGTCCCGGGTGGGACCCGCTACCAGAATTGTTATATGCAGGGATTTTATTTTGGGGCCATTGCACATCATGAATAATTATTTTGTGCATAAGTTAATGGTGCAAATGCTTAAATGTTGTTATAACATAATTAGTATGCATATACATATTTTGTGGTGGCAAATTAATGTTAAAAGATATTTCTTTTGGAGGGACCCACCATTATTGCTTTTGTTGGCCAAAAGGCCGGACCACACTTTCTCTCTCTCCCAATCTGGTTTTCTCTAATTCCTTTCTCTTTTCTTTTTTCCTTTTTTCTTTTGTAAATTTCAAACTTCAATTACTCTTTAACCTTGGGGAATTTGTTGGTGCTGTTTATAGCAAATCGGAAAGCTCGTCGAAGCCGTCATTTTGATGGAAGCAATTCACCATTTTCGCTAATCTAGGGATTTCAAAATTTTGGGCTCAAATTGGGGGTTTTTGCATTTTTTGAGGTAAGAGTCTCTAATATACATTTTCTTATGCTTTTGTGAATTAATTCCTCCTAATTTGTTGTCTAGCATGCTTAGCTTATTTTCGATATGAAATGTAGCGTCCCGGATTTTTCGGCATTATTTTCATTTTTTTTATTTTTTTTATTTTTGTGCATCGTTTTACGTGTCATGTGGGTCCCGGCGTTATTTTCCCATTACTATGCATTTATCTATATGTGAGTTAATGTATTAAATGTGTATGTATATGTATCATGTGGGTGGAGATAGATATTATGTGACATGGTATAGTTTTAGTAAACTTTGAAGGGTATTTATGGTAATTGTGTGAGGTGGACTTTTGATTCATTTCTAACCATTCAATATGGCTAAACAAAGATGACCACCTCACATCCTCTTCCTTCCATTTTCGTCTCTCTCTCTCTCTCTCTCCTCCATTGCATTTTCTCTCTCTAGAATCTCAAACTTCTCTCTGAAATTTGAGCTAGCTAAGGAAGATCTAGGTGGGGAGCAAAAAGGAAAGTTGTTATATTCTTCAAGATCTACATTTCTCAACCGGTCTTGCATATATTTAGAGAATTTCAAGCTTGGGAGTTAAGGGCTTTGGGTTGCATTCTTGAGGTAGGGATGTCTGTTTGTGTGTTTTTTTGTCAATTTTCCACATTGTTGTGGTATCTGGTGTTTTTACTTTTATTTTGATTTGGAGATGGATTTTTCCATCCTTTTTGTTTGATTTTCTTTTTCTTTGGTGAGTTTGGATGCCTGTATCCAACTCTCATTGGTGTTTTTACATTCTAAGGGTATGCCCTTTGTGAGTTTTGTACATATTTTCTTTTCTTTTATAGAACCACAATTATGAAATAAATAAAAATAATAAAATAAAAAAGTACCATACTTTATCTCTTGTTTAAGTTTCTCTTCTTGATTTCCATATTTTACTTGCTCTAATTGTTAAATTTTAAGTTGAAATGGCATTGTATGTTGAATTGAGAAAGCATGTCTAAATGTGATGTTGATTATATATATAAATTGATTGTTAAGACATTACAAGTATGAAAATATTAATCTCTATAATGCATGATTTCACTCATAGCATGAGCATGGTTTTGGGGATGGTGGTTGAAATGTTTTTTTCAAAAACAAAGTGATTTGGAAATGGTTGCGAAAATGATTTTATGAAAGGGACCGGGTTTTGCGAGCCGGGGCTAATTCGACCTAGAGGGAGCATGTGCTGGTGAGGACGTGTAAAGTTGATTGCTAGGCCCCAAATAGTTGCCGGATAGGAATTAGGGATAGCCAATTAATCTCGCCTCGGTAAAGTCGGTTAGCGGTTTTCGGTGTGTGTTGAGTTGGGCCAGGAATTGTGATTGGGAAAGCATGACATTTTATACCATGATGGTATTTTTATGTCAATTATGGTTTATTAGCATTCCCTCGCATGTCCCCATTTTCTTTTAGCTATTCTTTGTATGTTGACTCAAGGGAGCCCAAAGCTAATGCTTTAGGCATCTCCTATTGAGCCGTCGTGCTCACCCCATATTTATCATTTTCAGGACATGGCAAGGATGTTGTAGACGACGCATCCCCGCAAGCTTAGAAGCGTATAATGGACTTTTGACATCTTTTGTAATAGACTAGAATGGACAATGATTTTGCAATGTAATTATATTCTTGTGTGAGCTTCAAGAGAAGCTTTTGTAATCATGGCCATAGAGGCCTCATCATCTTGTAAACATATTCTTTTGCACTTGTATAAATGTTTCAAAGATGTATGAATGATGATGTTTGTAAATTTTATGAAATGTTTTATGGTTGATGATATTTATGGAACCTAAAATTTCATGTTAGGTGTTTGGGAATTGCATTTGATTGGATTGGGAAGCAGGAATTTTCGTAGATTCGTCTGTGGGCATATTTTAATCGGTTAGAAAGGATCACCTAACCGGTTAGATGAAAGGGGACAATGTGTTGGTTTGATGGGCTTTTCCCATCTAACTAATTAAGAGGGGTTTTCCTAACCGATTAGATAGTTTTTGGGTGTTTTACTACCCGGGTAGGAGATTCTTCTTAATCGGTTAGATGTAAAGGGCAGAGAAGAGGTTGGATAATTTTCCTTAAGGTTAGATAAGGTTTCCTAACCGGTTAGATTTTGTTTTTTCACGATTTTTTTTCACTGGACCATTCATGTACTCGGTTATGAGAAATCTCCTAACCGGTTACATGTGATCTATTAACCTGCAAGTATACTGGACTATTCGTCTACTCGGTTAGGAGCGGTTAGATGAACTAATATTTTCATAAGGACTTCATATTTCCACATAATTACCTAATGACCCCCAGACCCTAACCAAAGTGCAGAATGACCTTAGAAAATGACAGAATTACCCCCGAAGGGTATGAACGTTATAATTTGACTAGAAAATGACTATTTTAAGCTTGACTATTTCAATGCGGTAAAAGTCTATTTTACCCTTTTGGGTTTAATATTATTATTTGACCATACAAAAAGACCATAATGCCCTTATGAACTCTAGGGGCATTAGAAGGACGTGGTATGACTATAAGGCCCCCATATATTATTTAAATCGTGGAATGACTCTAATAAATGACAATTTTACCCCAAAAGGACTTTAAATCATTAAATTAATGTGAAATGACCATAATACCCTTATGTCACCTCGGGTCTAGGTAAGGACCCGGTTAACGATCCGGATCCCCG